AACACGTTATAGGAAGTCTCAACTACGCCTTTTCCGGCTGTCCTTTCGTCTCCCCATCAAGACTGCATGACCACGCTCCTCAAGAAGCACGTGCGTTAAAACCAATGCATGGATAAAAAAAAACATTAATGAAGATGTTGCATGTGTGAGGGATTTGCAATTTGACTGTTGATTCTTACGTAAAAGTTCGCGAGAAACACGATGGGCCACTAGTTTTCTCTGAAATCAACTTCCAAGCTTAAAAAAAGCTCTCAAATCGTGGTCAAATTGGAGGGGATATCCCACGCTATCTTGAGAGTCCACCTCTACATCAAGACAAACTCTTAATGCAAAGATAGGGAGCAAATAAATTGACAGGGCTACCACTTTATTTAGGGACTCTAAAACTGAAAACTCGGCAACCCTGCTAATGTAATTGCTCCGCATCTTTGCATGGAGAGTCTTGATGTAGAGGTGGACTCTCAGGATAGCGTGGGATATCCCATCCATTTTGGCCACGACTTGAGAGCTTTTTTTGAGCTTGGGAGTTAATTTCAAAGAAAACCAGTGGCGTGATCGTGTTTCTCGCGAACTTTTACAGAAGTATCAATAGTCAAATCGTAAATTCCTCATACATGCAACATCTCCATTCGTCACCTTTCGGACAAAATATCACAAGATCCATGCGACCTTTCAAAATTTCCGCCGCCATTTTATTTTTTTACAGCGAAATTGTTGGCTGAAACTGTTTGAGAATTTCACTGAATTTAATCGGCAGCGCAAAGAAAATTCAGTGAAATTTTCCGACACACCGCAATCACACGCTGAATGTGGGAGCTGAATGTGGCTTGAATGTGGAAGTCATCGGCCCGATGCCTGAATTTTGCGCGTGACGCGCAAAATTCAGCAACGATTCTCAGCAACCATCGGACCAATTTTGAATTTGTCTGAACTATTCGAGTATATTTGATACACATCTGTATGAAAATAACTCGAATTCGCTTTTCAGCCGTTGGGCGATGACTGTTTACTTCCACATTCAGCTGCTAAATTCAGCGTCTGATTGCAGCAACAGTTTCGTTGAACAATGTCTCTATGAACAAATAAAATGGCGGCGGAAATTTTTAAACGTCGCATGGCGCTTGTGATGCTTTGGCCGGAAGGTGATGAATTCTTCGGAAGGCTGCAAAAACAGAGTCGTTGATTTGCCACGTCGCAAACTTTTAGGAGAACCGTTCTTTCCCAATTCTTGATATTCTGTCTAATTCACGGGAAGAAGCGATTCAGGGCTCGCCTCTGAGAAATAAGGAGATCCATAGGAGATCTGTTCGTATTCTGGACATCTTGGACTTTTCTTGATGACGTAGGCCGGTACGGATGATTTTTATCATCGATTTTCTTGGAAATGGTGTAGTTTATGGAGAGCGTCATCCTATAAAAGGTAATTGAAATTACATCATGAGTTATGATTTAAGCAAAAAAATCGGGCGGTATGGTCCGTTTTGTCATACTTCAAATTCCGGATTTGTCTGGAATATCGGCGCCATGTTACTTCTGTGCTAAATTTTCTAAAAATAAAATTTGAACGAGTATATACAGAGTTGGAGCAGAACTGGCGTTGGATAGGAAATTTCAAAAGATTTCTCCAAAGTCGAGACAAAGAGGGAGTCTCAGAGCATCAATGCCCCATTGTCTTCCTAGGAAACATTGCGCAGCGCACATTTCGCCGTGGCCGCTACCCCAAAGTCCCCCAAGTTTCTACCTTGTTTAAAGTCTGCGATTTCGTTCCGTCACATCAAGTTTTGGCTAATTTCTTCGACTTGATCCTAGTGAAAGTTCACGGGCGGCAGCACCTCGTAAGACACAAATTATCACGACGCTTAGGTGGCATATGTGAAGTCTTGCCGTGTATCTGCATAAATTACTCCATTTCTGTTCAGAGACAAAATGTCACCAAGGACACTTACCTGAACTACTAGTTTAAACCCAATGTGATAGACTCCGATCTTTTCACCGAACCGAATCGAAATCCGAGGACGGAAACAAAGAGGAAGAACGGAAATGTGGAATATTCCATGCATTTTTGGCGTTTTTGCGACTGTTAAATTTTTTATAGGTACAAAATAAAAGTATTCCGATATATTTTGATATACTGAGTCCAAAAATGACCTTGGTTTTTTCTTATCACCTCTCACTTTTCCGAAAAAGCGACTTTTTCCCGGTAAAATGAGCAAATTTGACGTATTTTTGCTATAATTGCAATTCATGTTGATGAATTATACCGGACCCGCGGTAAAGAGATTCTGTTATATATATTAAGCTGCTAAATCTTAATATGACCTAGGTTTTTTTTTATCACCCTCCAGTTCTCCGACGATGCCGATTTTCCAAAGCCTTTTGGGTAAAACCTTTTCCGGACTCTAAGTGTGTTAAAAATACATTTTCAGAATGATTTCTATGTGTGATATATCGATTCTTATGTATTTTAACTTGCTAAACCCGAATATGACCTTAGATTTTTCCTATCACCCCTCATTATCCCGGAAAATTCAATTTTTATCGGAGAACGAGCTTTCCCGGGTAAAATCGGCTTTTCCGAAAAATTGAAGGGTGATGGACATAAACGGAGGTCATATTCGGATTTACCGCCTAAATATCCGTAAGAATCACCTGATCTCGACCGAGAGATATTTTTGTTGTTATTTTTATACATGTCAAAATAGGGTGGAGAAAATCTTCAATCTTAAAAGCGCCAGAAATTACATTTACCTTAAGTTAAGTTTCTCGGTCAGGATGTTGATATTTTGTTTAACTAAGATGTAAAATGAAATCAGCGACCCAAAGATCATAAGATCCAACACCTTTTATGACGGTGCAATGCATTTTCGAATAAAGTTCCGTTAAATCCAGTCTGTGGACCACAGAACGGCGCCCGGTCGAATGTGTGGCAATAAGCCAGGGGGTAATTCCGGCGCCATATTGAATTTCCGCTAAAGCGCGGGCAAACGCGGCATTTTAAAATTTTGAACTTCAAAAGTCGTTTTCGGAGGGAAATACGGCTCGGAAAAATATGCAAAAATCACTGCGTGATCGGGAGACACTGTAGTTTCTGAAAATGCAAGAATTAGAAACAGGTTAACAAGCTAATTGTGAGAGGCACACCTTATAGAAAACTAAAGGGCACGGATCTCCTTCCTTCAGTGACAGACCTGATTCCACATAGTGGTGTATCTTCATATCTTTGCGGCTTACCTACGCTCACACGGAATCAATTCGTATCACTGGAGGAGCTGTTGATAAAACATAGTTGACGAAATACCCTGAAATTCACCCACAAAGTGAATATCCAAGTATTTGGACAACTACACCTGTCGAAATAGAGTGGGAGAGCGAAAATTAGCGAACTGAAATATAAATACTAAATGATTAAATACTAACAGGGAAATGAAGAAAGACTGAGAAATACGTTTCACTCAAACACGTATTTTAATAATTACATATCTTAAGTGCAGAAGGCACAAAAGAAAAAGATAACAAAATATATAAAAAACAAAAGAAAACATGGACAAAAAATAAGAGAAGGAACTACCTACGTCACCAAAACAATGTGAAAAGTGATTAAGGTACAATCTTTCCCAGAATCCAGGGTGGAAAAGCTTATGGCTAAGGCTATTGCAAGAACTCAGAAATATTCGGTCAAAGAGCAGAGAGGACCACTGACCACTGGCCGAGGCTTCAGCGACGGTTGTCACTCAAGATTCAAAGTTGGAGGTTGAATATCGAATGAATCTTGAATTCGAAAATCATCCACGGAGCAAAGCTCGGTATATTGCGAAAAAGCAATAACTGATTATTAACTAATAGCTAATAAAAAGTAATGCGTTTGAGAAGATGTGAGAAAAAGATTGATCTTTACCTAGGTACATGTTAAAATTTGGAAAAGAGATAAATTTGAATAAAGGGGTTTTTATTTTAAAATTGTCAACGCTGCACATGTCCTTAAAATGTTTTAGTTAAGGAAAAAGAAAGAAAGAAGGAGAGAAAGAAAGAAAAAACATAATCCTCCTTCCCCAATGGAGACAGAAGGGACAATTGTCGTTCTGAAAAATATCAGATCCAAAAAATATAATAGGTAGTTTAGGTGGATACGTAGCTCTTCAATAATTAGGAATGTTACAAAAAGGAAACTTTAGACTCTCCGAATACGACTTTAGAAGGCGCATTAGGACCAACAAATCGGCAATATTGCTGCAATATTTCGTGTAAGGCGGGTTCTTAGTATTTTAATATTGCACCAATATTAGCAATATTAGAAATCCAACGTCAGGTATCGCTTGCTGATTCTAAGATTGTCACTATGTTGACACAATATTAGTTATACCATGTTGGTAAAATAATACTGTCATAAAATGGATTTTTTAATATTGCAGTAATATGGTAGTTTTAACATTGCCTCAATATTGAAAAAACACTGACCATAGGCTTCTGCCTATAATATTAGGAAAACAAAATTGCTTAACCCTAGTCTGCCTGAGTGGGGTCAGATTGACCCCACGGAAGTTTCAACTCTTTGCCATTTCTCGTGGTATGCACGAAATTTTTTGTCCTTCACAAATAGCTCTACAAATACATCTAGAAACACGATATTGAAGGAGGGGGGGGGAATGTGCATGATGAGAGATCAAAAAATTCACGAGTACCCCTAGAAAGCCTGAGCGGGGTCAGATATCCTTATAACATATATTTTACCATTTAGCATCACAAAAGCTTACTTTGAAGGTGTATTCATTTTTCTCTTTTTAATTTTTTTCAGAAACTTATAAAGCAAGCAAAATTTTTCAGATTTTTTCCGTTTTCAGTATTTAGTAGCCACAATGATTTTTTTTTCTCATGCTGAGAACAACATGGCAACATGTGTATGATAAAATGGTTGCATACCCTGCGCCGTGTTTTTTAAAACTTAGATATGCTTTATGGTTAAGGCCTGTAAGGTTAGTGCACTGATATTAACTAAAAACATGAAAAAAAACATAGCTAACTAATTGACTTTCAGCTGGGGTCAAATTGACCCCGCTCAGGCTTTCTCGTTGGTTCAGAGGCCCAGGCAGACTAGGGTTAAATAATATTGAGACGATGTTATCTCTGTTATACTGTGGTAATGTTTATGTTAACATTCAAATAACGTTAGAACAACGAACATTACAGGCTTCTGTTCGTAATGTTGTCATAATATTGACACAATTTTGGATATCTAAAACTGCTGAATTGATATTATGCTAACATTATTTTTACAACATTCTGGTAATATTCGCACTTTAACATTGTTACAAGATTGAGAAAATAACCATTAAAGGCTTCTGTCTGCAATATTGCCTTAGTATTGGCGCAATATTGGGCAAACAATATTCCTAAAATAATATTATCCTAACATTATTTTTCATATTGTAGTAATATTCGCATTTTATCATCGCTACAGTATTAAGAAAATAAACATTTTAGGCTTCTGTTTCTAATATTGTCATAAGAGTAACACAATACTGTGCGCGGCGAGCAAAATTCGACCGCGTCTGCTATTTCCGCCACCAGGGCGCGCTCGCCGCGGATCTGCCGTTGCGGTCCCTTTAAGGGCAAATTAAAGGGCAAAATCTACGACCTTTTGCTTTTTGACGTAATAGGCACATGATCCATAGGCACCTTACCCATCTTACCGATATTCATAGGCCAAGGGCTCAAATGGAGCCTCTTGGCAACGGTCCGCGCGCGACCGCCCCGTCAGTGGGGCTGGTTCTCATTTCGCCTGGGCAGTGCCCGTTGTGGGATGCAATTAAAGTGCTTAAGCCAGTGAAAACAGATAAGGAAGTAGCTGGCTTAGGTAAGTTCCTCGGCACCCCTATGTTCCGTGTGCCTACCTTAGGCATTGCGACCAATACGACGCCAAGAAATTACTTCCGCGAGGATGGCAGGTATTACGGCGCTCTATCACCTACCTTGCCTCAGAGATAAGACAAATGTTTTACCAGTATAGAGGCAATTCTGGTACAACAAGTTTAAGCCATCGTTATGATCACAATATTGGTAGAACAAGCTTGGAATAATGTTATTGACCTAACATTGCCACAATCTTGGAAATCCAAGCTTGTCTCAGAGGTAAAATAAATGTCCTGCCGATATTATTGCAATATTTTTACAACAAGTCTATGGCAACATCATGATCACAATATCCGCTGAACAAGCTTGGACCAATTTTACTAACATAACATTGTCACAATATTGAATATCAAAGTTTGTCTCGGAAGTAAAATAATGTCCTACCAATATTGTGGCAATATTGTGAGGATAGGCTTGGAGCAGTTTTACAAACCTAACATTAGCACAATCTTTAGGCTCAAGCTTGTCTCAGAGGTAAAATAAATGTTCTGCTAACATTGTGGGAACAATAGCAAGATAAGCTTGGCCACTATATTCAAATGTGAAAAATGTTGTACCAAGCTTGTACCAAGGTCGAATTTCCGATTGGGATGAAAAAGTCCTGTTGAGCTACTCACCCAATGTGGGGGAAAAGTGATTTATCATGAATTTTATCCCATCACCGCCTATCGATTTGATCATAGTCCAATATGCTTCGGAACCGACGTCTCTCCCTGCTTTCTTTATGAACATGATCGCGGTTTTAAATGCTTTTGAGATTTTCAGCTTCTCAGATACTGTCAAATTCTCTTTGATTAGAGGTTTGTTCAGTAACTGTTCAAGATTATGAGAAGTGTTGTGAGCAGACACGGCGTCTACCTTTGCGATGTTAAAAACATGTGCAATTTCTTTTTGGACGAATACGATCTGATAGGCTGGTGTCTCATTCAGAGTGAAATTGCCCAGCGAACGGTGGTCGAAGTCAAAACCGGAGAATAAAGATCTGAAAACGTTTATTAAAGTTTCTAAACTCGCCTTTTCGTGAAGCATATATGCAGGCGCGCGGGTGTTGAAACGATCGGATATAATTTTGTTAAAATCAGAGGCATCATTATTTAAATTATTAAAAGAGCCAGCGAACCTATCATAAATCTGTTTTGTTTCATCTAATTCATTTTTGAAATTTCTCGTTAGATATTCTTTTAATTCCTTATTCGGAATTCGCAATAAGTAGTAATTTTCTGATGATTGCATGTCCGGTTTTGCATCGACATATCCGACATGGGTCATAAGAGTCCAATAAGACTCTTCCGTTTGTATCAGATCCTCAAATATTAAATCGTGGTAGATTTTTTTTCTTAATGACCGTCCACTCAGCAGAAAATAGAGGTCTAGCATACCGAACTTGCCTGAACACTTAATAAGGTGTCTGATCCTCCTCAGAGAGCCTGATTCTGCCCAGTAATCATCAAACACACCATTATGAATTGCTGACACAACAGCATACGGGTTGAATATGACATTACCGGCATAGTGATAGCCATCATACCATTCTTCAAATCCTTCAAATGTTAAGTTTGTCCCCGAGGAATCAATCAGCCATTGGACCTCGTGATCCAAAAAACCGAAGTAGGGTCCAAATTTATAATCATCAAGGGTGGTGTAAGCCATGAAATCCGAAAGATCAGAAAAAATGCTAGATTTTGCTACATAGGTAATCCCAATTAGTACACCGCAATCAATAGAAATTTTTAGACCATCCTTGAAGAAAAACGAGTAAAACTGTCGCATGAAAATCAAAGTTCTTGAATAAAATTCCCCAAGAACCAAAGGCTTTCCCTCCGCAGTTTCTGATATTGCTTTTTCAATTGCCAGATGAAATGGCGCATCATATTCGTCGACTAAAACAGCTATTTTGTAACCGTTAGCTTGGAGTTTCCTTATCATTAGGGAATATCCACGCAGAACTATTTGAAGGCCTCCGTCTTTATCGCGTAAGTAATGTTTTAGCCGTTCTTTTTCTCTTGGTTCAAGAAGCCGATCGTACTTGACAAAGATTTCGAGTAGATCATCTCTTAGGTATATAAGGAGGTTGTTTTCAAACTCCAAAGCCGTAGAGGCGACGGAGACACTCAGCAAACTAAAATGAAAAACAGCATACTTATGCTGATGTTTCATCCTGATTTTTTCGAACTTTGTATCGTTCTGGATACTAAAACCTGCAAAAAAGTCCATTGCTTCTACCTTTTCATCCTTGGTCAGGAAGGTTTCTAGCATTGACAAGTTCGTGGTTTTTCCAAACCGACGGGGTCGCGTAATCAGCTTCAGTTTAGGTCCTGTAAGTGCTTCCCCGATCCATGGGGTCTTGTCCACTATGATATTGTCATCCATGACCATTCTTTGAAATTGATGTTCTCCAAATGGTACCTGGTCCCTCAAGTCATGGGGATGAGCCTAAAAGGAAGAAGACAATTTATTAAGGGTAAGTAAAGAGCAGAGGGGCCAGGGCCCCCCCCCCCACTACAATTGAAAATGGTATCATATGGCAACCGCCCCCCCCCAGAAATTCTGGATTATGGGGAAACACCTTCGTCGAGGATGATTATCTCTCTTGTAGAGTCTAAATTGCAAACGCCGTGTTCATGCACTTAGTATTTTCTAAAATTTTCACCACGGAGGCCTCAAAATTTGTCCAAGTAGAGTTAAAATTTCAAAAAAATTCCAAATCTACTAAACGCGACAATTCGGGCGCATTATTTGCTGAAATTACGTAAAAATAAACGTAATTTTTCGGCAGACATTGATGAAACGTCTGCACCATGGAAGCCTCAAAATGCGTTCAAAAAGATTTAAAATTTAAAAAAATTTCCGGGGGAGGCTTAGGGTCGACAGTTTTGAAACTTTTTTCGAATTTCCAAGACAGCTAGGGGTAAAAAGTTGCATTTTGGCATAAAAATAACGCTCAGTTTTTTTCAGAATTTTTGGATGAGATTCTGAGTCCGTCCCGACGCCATCATTGTTGCCAAATTTTCGATTTTTTCGAGGAATTGCCAGGATTTGGTTTAAGGCCCGGCAACGCGTGGAATTAATCAAAATGGAATATAAATTACTTTTAATATCTGTAAGTACCTAAGTAGTCGTCTAATTTTGCATGGTGTATACGGAGTAATTTTGGAGATAATGCATTTGAAATCCTAGGTTTCACCTGACTCAAAGCGTTTGCTGCTAATACCAAGGAGTGTTTCGACTCATTTATCGGAAAATTGACCGTTTGCTGTTAGCCCGGCTTCTTCAATTATGAAATTAGTCAAAAGATCATTTAGGAACTTAAATTAATGACCCAAGTTGGTGCTTTGTGCCAACTTTCACACGATTAAACGCCTTTTTACAAAATCTACAGCCCTTCTCAGTGAACTCTTCGTGTGATCAAAGTGCCCACGCTACATGACGCTTAACCCTTCAATTTTGAGTTTAGTCCAAAGATCTTTTAGGAACTGAAGTTAATGACCCAGGTGGTGCATTCGTGCCATCTTTCAAAGAATTAAAGGCATTTTTTCAAAATCTACAGCCGTTAAAGTGAGCTCTTCGTGTGATTTCGCGGAACAAAGTGCCCTCGCCTTGTGACCAGTGTCCCTTCAATTTTGAGTTTTGTCCAAAGATCTTTTAGGAACTTCAATTAATGAGAAGTGTGCTTGATGCCCACTCTTAAAGAATTAAAGGCATTTTTCAAAATTTACAATCCTTCAAAATGAGCTTTCCGTGTGGTTTTGCTAAGAATCGACCTTGGCCCCGAGCCCACCCCCCCCCTCCAATTTTAGAGTACCCCAAAATCGTTCGACGTGCATAAGGAGACCATAGATATGTTCTTCCCTGCAATTTTTGAATGAAATTTAACAGATAGATTCTGAAATATGGCTGTGCACAGATTTAGGGGACGCCGGGCGGACGGACACGCATTTTTTCAAGTATGGTTATTTTGACTGCAGGGACCTTAAAACGTCTAGAAATGATGAAATTAAAACTTTTTTTTTTCTTGGAGGGTGATAAAACTACACCTACCCTAGGGGAGCGAAAAAGTAAAACTTTGATACATCGGTACGTTCCAGAATTTTGGTATGGGTGACAGACCTGGCCTTGCCATCATTCATAAAATTGTTAACAGAGATGCAGAAAAATAGGAAATGAAAATGTAGGAAAAAGAAGATGAAGGAGAAGAAAGATGGAAAGAAAAACAAGTAGATCGTATTCGATACATCAAACGGGTGAGATTGTATCGATATCGATTGGTTCAAAACATAAACATAGCCTCAAAAGTAAATTCAGAAATCTGAGAGAACGGATCTTTTGAAACAGATTTTTTATTCTTTTGAGTACCAAATGCCAATGAAAAGTGCAATTGTCAGGAAATTTCTCATTTTCAGCTTTTCCAATTAAAATCCTTACAGTTAGGTTTGAGGTTATGTTCTATTGTTTTGAACCAAACGATACATCGAACCGTTATCGAATACGGTCTGTTGGTTTTTGCAATCGCTAGCGATAGCAATATTCGTCATGGGAACTTTTGCTTCTGGGATATGAAAATGTTAAGGTACAGTTCGTTTGTAGTATCTTCAGAATTGAAGGGGCTATGTAATTTTGTGTCGACATCTCTTTTTTTAGCATTTTTAATTTTTTTTGCTTTGCATACAAGAAAGCTGTTACTTACCAATTATTTATTATCGTTGGATTATGTATGGTTTTCGGAAGTTGACGCATTAATCTTTCAGTTTCGCTTTTTCGGCGTAAAGTATGATATTTTTACTCTACGCATATGCCCGAATACGCATCATAAGTGACCTATGTGCTTCCTAAGTTGCCATTTTTTCATTCAAATAGATTTAACTGAAATGTTAGATGTGTACTACCTACACTACTTTCATGTCATTGCTTTATTTATTTACTAGCAACCAACCCGTGCTTCGCACGGTGATAAACCGTCATTATTGAAATTACACCATGTTATAACAATAACTTTTGTATTAATATATTTTACTAAACCTATTATGCCCATATTTATATTTTTTAATATAATTATTCAGAAGCTACAAAATATTTTTACATATGGGGGCTGTTGTTGTACCCATCAGCAAAAACAAAAACATGTTTGCGAGTATTAATTTTGTAAATATGGTAGTAATTTATAGACCCAGCAGTCTTGAAATTAAAAAATAAATAACTGTTGTAAGAAGATGTATTTATTAATTTCAATAAATAAAAAAGGCAAATTTTGAGATGTTGCTCTACACTAAAAACATTAAATGAAAAATCATACAAAAGAATAAACTTAAAAAATATAAAATCATGAGTGTGACAGACATTTTGAGATCTTGCGCTAGACCTAAAAAAGTAGTTAAGTAATTTATTTTAATTGAATAGCAACTTGAATTGACAATACATTTTGAAAGAAGATATAACATGCTCTGAAATTTTGGAAATTGGAATTGGAATTTTGAATTTATCATCATTTAATAACAATTTAAATTTATAATCTGGAAAAATTAAATTATTCCGGAAAATAATTTCGGACTTTTAAATGTGAAGTACCAGTATTGTGATGCCTTGCATTTCAAAAAGGAGGAGGTGAACGGCCATTTTAACAGATGCTGTCATAATGGTCTTCTCAGACTTGCCGAGCCTGGAATCGAAGACCAACTTCGCAACCTCTTCTCCAAACCTATTTTCATGACCAACATTTTGAGGTACAACAGTTGTATGGCTTTTGCATCTCTGTCTGCTTCCAAAGCTCATATAATTTTGAACCAAATCTTCTGCTATTGAATACGGAAAATTATGGAGAATTTAAGTTTTATGTTGACCAGCTTCTCGAAAGAAAAATAAAATTTCTAAGGAAGTCTGCAACGTCGCATAAGAAGAAACGTCGTCTCTCATTTTGCCCACAAATATGTATGTATAAAATTGAAGGCATTATGACTGGCCTCTCTCAACTCATATTCGTATGTAACGAAAAACAATGGGACGCGTTTGCTACGGCGCCTTGATACAACTATATAACCTCGACGGATGTCCGTATTGCGTTCAAAAAATTGAAGGCGTTTAGACCCCCTGCTCATACTACCTGTAGTTGATTCGATCGACAAACGCGTTGGTCGGCGGTGACGGGGACTTGATGCATTTTTTTAAACTTGATGGATGTCCGTATCGTACGACTGAAGTGCGAAACCACGTATATCCGTTGCGGTGTTTCAAAATTTCCGTTCTTAAATCATCTCTTCCATGAGAAACAATCCAAATTTACGACTTTAAATTTTGAACCAAATTTGCTGCTATCGAATACGAAAAATCATGGAGAATTTAAGTTTTATGATGACCAGCTTCTGATGGAAAAATTAAATTTCAATAATTTTTCCATCACAATACTGGCATTTCACATTTAAAAGTCCGAATTTATTTTTCGGATAATCATTTTCTATAATATTATCAGTGCTCTGCCGAAATGAATTGAGGTTATTTCCCTGTTCACCCCTACGTCGTACATTATCTATCTTACTGATATAGCCATCATGCCGCACTTTGCGTCGCGCGGATAAATTGCGAGAAACATTGCCACGCTTCGCCGGACGCCCACGTTTTCGACTCCGATCCATTCTCAATATTAAAACAAATACGCGCACTTTACTAAAAATTCGGGATTCTTCATACACGACAAATATTAACAAAATTCAAAAGACGACGCGCACTGTACGAAAAAATCGGAATTCTTCATAAACGACGAATATCCATGACGACGAACGCCTCGGGCAGCCGAGTCATCAGGTGACCGAGAACGAACAATTTACAATCCTCTAATTACATCAACTTTCAAGAATGAACGCAGAAGATTCTTAACACGTATGAAAATATAACGTGAAATTACAGATTTCGTGATTTCGGCAACACTGCTCCGGTTCGGAATCTCCAAAATTAGACAGAAAAAACAGCTGATCGAGACGCAATAAAAGAAGGGAAACCACGACGACCAGACGACGACGATCGATCGCGGAACACCGCTCTAACACACGGGTCACCCTTTTTTAGCGTGTTTTCAACCCTTAGAATCAAAATTTCGAAAATCGGACGACGAATTGCACCCCTTCAGCACGAACCGCACATGCGTACAAAGTTTCAAGGAAATCCGCCTTCGGGAAGTCGCTGAAACATTGGGTACAAAATTGGGGCCTCTCCTTTATAGTTTTAGATTTATTTATTTTTTGCGTAGGTATAAATTGCTATTTTTTTCTGAACTTTGGAGAAAATATTGCTTTAAGAACGTGGAATGTAAATTAATTTTATTGAAAAAAGAAAATACCATCATTAATTTGGGCGAACAGAGAAAATATACATCAATATTTGGGTCGAAATCTCCCTGATTATATAAAGGATGAATATATTAGTATTTCTGTATAAAGAAACTTAGC